TCACTGGTCATTTCATATGTATGGCCTTTGGCAGCTGAAAAGTGCCATGTAAATGGTATAGACTATAAAGTGGAACACCTCTTGCCTGATCATGTGGCAAATAGCATAAACTCTAAGAAAACAAATTTCCCTTTTGATCTGGCTACTAAGCAAAAGTACAACAGCATTTTCTTTCTGATTCTTCTAACTGCCAGCTTCCCCAGCACAGGGAGAGTGCATTTGCAGGTCCTGACCCATCCCCTCTTCCTGCGGTACCTCTTTTTTTTTTAAATACTGGCTTTCATAGAGTTGTGCTTGCAGGCTCTCCTCAGGGCTTGAAACTCAGCTTGTCTATTTGCACTTGACCCCAGTAGCCTCACGTTGCTGCTTTCAAAGAGTGGCCAGACACCCTCTTCTGGTATGGGGAGAGCTGCTAGATGGCAGCTTTAGCTGCAAATGGCCGTGGCTACACCCTGGAGCACCAACCTCTGCTGGAGTAGGGAAGTTCTGCCTATCAATTGGTGGGCTAGCTTTGCCAAGGCCATGTGAAAACCTGTGGCAGAGAAAGCAGTCTGAGTTTATGATGTCCCTCCCTCCAAAGATGCTACCTAACACGCAGGAGTCAACAGCTTTCAGCAGACTGCCATCAGTGGGACTGGCTTAAGCCACTGTGAAGTGCTTTGGAAGGGTGGCTCTTGTCGCTGATATACTAGCTCCTGAGGTAATGTGCACAGATCCTCACTAGCTCCATTCCAGAAAGAAAAATTCAGACCATGGGAGGAAAAGGAAAGAAGATGGGGGGGAATGAGGTGGCTATTTTATGAAAAGAGAGTAAGTCTGGTCTTCCTTCACTCACCTTCACAGAACAGAGTGAGTTTGCTGATAAGAAACTCTCATTAATGGTAAAAGTTCTATTTGGAAACTGCGGTGAAACATTTCTGCTTTAACAATCAACTAAAATCCAGCAGCCATCCCTACCTTGTGCAGGTGTAGAGCGGAGAGTGGCATAAAAGTACAAACAGCCATCCTTCAGAACGCAGTAGTGCTGAATCCAGACATCTTTGCTCCTGTCCAGCTGGTGGAGGAGGCCCAGGCACTCTGGGTTTTTGATAGCCAAGGGTGGAAGTGTAGTGTTATGCAGTGTGACATCTACCCACACATGGTTCTGTAAAGTAAAGCATGTAACAAAAAGTTCTGATAAGAAATTAAGGAGGACCTGCTAGTATGAAAAGACACAAGCTCTAGTCCCCTGCTAGGAAATTAGCTTTTGTTGTGAAAATAATTTGAAAAGTCAACACTGAAAATGCAATTAGAAAAACCTACATTTGATGGCAAATAGTCATCAACTTCCACTTTCTTCTTTCAATAATAAATTGTCTTTTCCACATCTATTTTGTTTTTCAGGACAAGTTTTGCTGATAGAAACAGGATTATTTCAAAGCTGTATGAAGAAGCTTTTTTTAAAAAATTGTCTTGCTGATTGCCTGACTTCAGCAGTCTTTACGGTATGTAATCTGGCAAAACAAGGTTCACCATCTATCCTCTGGGTTCCAGAGAAAATGTGGTGATGTCTGAGGCCCGAATACAGCACTCAGACTTGGATGGAAGCACTGTCACAGACAAAATGTTTATGGATGCCTTCCCATCCCTTTCTGGAAAGCAGAGTCTTTTTCATTACTAAAATTATCCTATTGTCATTTACAGGTCAAGAAAAAGCTCAACCCATGACACACTGCCATTGTATAGGCTATTTGTATGATAAGAGAATCCAAAAAGAAAATCAGGAAAAATAAACTGTTGTTTAATAAGACCAAGTTGTTTAATGTAAGGTTAAAGCATTTCTTTTCCTTTAAATCTGAGAGGTGTTAAGAACTCAGCCTCTCCTAGTGTGTTTTGCTTATCTACAAGATATATTTCGAATTCTACATCAACCACTGTCATTGTCATTTGAAATCCATGGGGACAGTGTGTGCAATATCAATAGCATCCTGATTGTTTCCAGACGGGTTTTCTTTTGCATTTATTTATGATATTTCTTTAGTATCCTTGACAAGGCAATGACGGAAAAAAGACCTGGCACAATATATCTAGCTGTATTCTTTGTTATGAAGGGGAAACCTGCTGTGACTTATTGCAGCAAAGTGCGGAAGAGGACTTCAGTAATACTAGGTGTGTTCATAAAGTAGTTATCCTTGGAGATTCATTAAGACAACATAGTGTCAGTATATTGGTCTGTTAAATCATTGTGTTGTGAGCCCTGCTGTAACACACTAGCTATTGTAAAAAGTCAGTAACAAACAGTATAGCAAACAAAAAAGAAGAAAAATACAGCTTTTTCTATTCAACTGAATGGAAAGTCCAGTTAGAAGAAAGGAACAGATATAGTGTTCATTAAGAACAGAGGTTAGGCAATGAAAGTAACATATTAAATCAAACATTTATTTCAGAAAAGGATAGTTTGCTCAAAGACAAAACTAAAAAAGCTAAAGCAGTCAAAAATAAGCTGCAATAGCACTGAAAGGAGCCAACTTACTGTGTTGATACTGGGTGAATGCATAAGAGATCTTTCTGTATATATAATGTTGGAACTTTTTATCCAACAAGTTATTTTTGCATGTTACACTAAAGAATGACTCTTTTGGTGTGTTTTCTTTGTGTGCCTTTATCCTCCTTTTTGACTCAGGGTATTTTTTTTTTCTTTTGGCTAGGGTACACACTTTAAATTGTTTGATTTATTTTTGCTGTTTTCAAGTATGTGGGTTCCTTTGTATTCTTTTAAGAAACACTGCCAGGTTGAATATACTTGGAAACAAATTTGGGTTTGCGGTTACAATCTCATCTGAAAGCTGAAGCCAAAAGAAATATATGTTTGATCGATTTTATTTCAGTGGAAAAGGAATTAAAGTAACAATAAACTCCTCCTTTCACTGTTTGGAAACCCATCACTAAAGCACACTGCTGAAGGAATCACTCAAGTGCCCTGCGTTGAGAGAAGGAGGAAAATAAATTTCTTTTTTCTTCTTTTTTTTTTTTCTTTTTTCACGGCATTAATGCAGGTTATAATTTGTACCTTGCAATTTTCTTATTTTTTTATTGATTATTTTATTTCATTTGCAAAAAAAGTAGACTTTGTTACTTACTCTGCATTTGAGCCTCACATTCTTTCTGCTAAAAATCAAGCTGGTTCAGTAGCTAAACCTTTTTAAAAAAAGATTTTGCAAATCAACAGCATATTTTTATAAAGGTGGTCTGCTATAGGAGGAATGAATAAGAATCATGGGGCCAGGAAAGGGCAGGCTAAAGTGGCTTTTACCCCTTATGCTTCCAACCCTGGAAGTACTAAAATTAGCTTTGCAGTTCCCAGTTCAGGGGTCAGCCAGGGCTTATTCATACTAAATTATGTTGGGCTGAGCAAGGTCTCTCTGTAGCAGCTCAAGATCAATTATGGCTATGTTTCTCCCAGCCATAGGGGTCAGCAGAGAGTATAGCTGTGTAAAGAGGTAGAGAGAGAAGTCAAAGTTTATCCGCTAATTTATCTTTCTTCATCTCTGAAAATACAGAAAAAGAAGAACTCAGCATCCCCGTACCCCCCATCCCCCTTCCTAATTTCTGTTGGAAAAAGCAGGTAGCTTGCACCAAAGGCAGACTTGCAGGGAGTACTTAAGAAGATATAGCCCTTCTCTCCCTTTACTCCAAATAGTATTACCTAGGGCAGAACATGTGGTTGTGAGAGTCGTCTCTCCCCTTCCTCCCTTCCCACTACCCTCATTTTAGGTTATGTTTCTGAACCAACTTAAAGCTGCTGGTATATGGAGAGGGAGCATTTTGATTCATTCCAGCGTATGGCAGCAAAGCATATTTGCTGAGTCACAATAATGTCTGTGTATGGCTTTTAGATTGGAGCTGATTCATGTCCCAGCAGCCCAGAACAAAAGTATGTGGTTTCCATGTTGCTGTTTGTACCTGACCATGTACAAATACATCTACTGTCTCTCAGTCTTCTGCACAATCCGTTGTACACATGCTTCTCACATAAATAAAGAATTACCTGATGGACAGGATGCACTGCTTTATCCATAGCCTCCAGCCACCTATAATATGACAAAAAATGACAATAGCTTAGTTTGGTAGAGCAGAATAAATGTGCTTTACTGCCTCTTTTATCTCTGGCTGACATAGACAGCATCTAAAGGGTTGTGCAATTTTCAGGACGCATTCAAGGCTTCAAGATAGAAAAGTAGTGGATTAAATCTAAATAAACATTGCTAAGTCACAGAAAAATAAGTCTCAAAGCTTGCTGTGTAACACATTGTAATAGATTAAGGCAATATTGCAGACAAGGGAATCTATATATTTGGAATATAGTTCAACATGTCAGGCTAAATGATTGCTCTTCTTGTGCCTTTATTATAGTGTAGATAAAGAATTTCTGGGAAACATAAAGAATCCTGAAATTGGAGACTACAGAATAAAGCAATCTATTTGCTGGCAAAGTTATTCTTTTCGTGCTATGCATGGTATAGAATTTGGAAGTGGAAAATGCTCTGATATTGCAATGGTGGGTGCTATGTTAAGTAGTAAGATGTTATAAAAAGATCGGTGGATGAAAACCAAATGTCATCCTACTTAATAGCTTTATACTTTTGATAATTCACAATAAAACAAAGAGGAAAATAAGATTAGATTTTAGTACATTTTGAAATTAAAGCCTAAAAAGTTGTTACTTTTGGTTTGGGTGATTTTAGTTTCTTTGTTTTGTCAGCTATAGTCTTTGGGAAATGCAAAAAGAATATTTTTTAAGTCAAACTCTAAGTCAAAACCAAACTCATTGCCTCTTATTGTGGCGTGCTTGCATTTTAAAATACTAAAATGATAATATGACAGAATGACAGAAAAGGAAATGGAAGATGGGGTTGTTTTTATTACTAGCACTGTCCTTGATGGGCAGAAGAGAGATCATTCATGTGAAATGACCGATAAGCAAGTTTACACCCACAGGAAGATTTACACATTCATTTGTATATAGCAGTCGGGGAGAAGGCAGGAGAATATGGGTGAAGATGTTTTTCTGGAGATAAATCAAGAATTCAGGGGGATCTTCAGCAAAGCACAAGTATTAAAGACTTTATGAAATAAAAATTCTCATGGAAAAAACTATGAAGCTGAAAAATAATTTTTGAAACTTCTGCAAATGAAAATTAGAAACACCATCTTCCCACAGTAGCTGACATATTGGTTTTTTTTTTCTACCGATCAAGGCAGGTATGATGAACATCCTCCAAATATTCAGACTCCCTCTCCCCAAACCGGAATAACAAAACTGACCCTGTAAAACGAAAGATCTCCTACCTCTTCATTTCTTGGTTGGAAGTTGCACAGAAGTAGAAAATCCTGTTTCCACTTTGAGGTATGCATTTAAAAACAAATGGTTTACCCAGACTGGTGTCAACACCAATTTCCGCTCCTTCCAGCTTTGTTACTTCCAGAGGTCTGCACTTCCCTTCATCCTGCAATTAGAGAGAAAGAGTGCCAAAGTTCAGAACTAATATGAAACTGATCCCTGTGCGATGGGGATGAACTCAGGGAACACTCAAAGATGTAGAAGCTGGTGATAAGCTCTTGTGCTTTTGAAACTATTCTAATAATCACATGGTTTAATGATCAGCAGTCCCAGAAAATACAGTGTAGTCACGAAAGATAAACTAGTCAAACACTCTCTAAATTTGCATCTCTGTTTTTGCTCTCTTAGTTGTTTTTGGTTCATCAGAAGTTGTACATGCATGTGGAAACCTCGCCAGGTATTTGTAAATACTCCAACTTTTGAGGGTGCAACTGAGTGAAAGTGTTTTTTTCAAAGTGCACTGAAGAATTTAGGAGCATGAATCTCTTTACTAAGCAATGCTGCTTGCAGCCTGGGTTTATGCTGAAAACCTCACCTTATATGTGCAGATAGAGGGAACAAAGGCTTACATTCAGAAAATAGTGAGCATAATTTAAAAGGCTGGATTTCAGTTCCTTTGCAAAGTTGCCCTAAATATCAGTATGTTCACAACACTTCCCATTCATTTCAGACAACTTTCAATGGAAAGCATTTCAAAATCTTTTGTACCGTGTTGTTCCTGATCGCGTTAAAGCTCTTTGAGACTGAAGGGCATTGTCAGTGTCTAAGCCATTAAGCTCCTTAAAGCAAGTAGGTAGGTGAAACAGTTCCTCCCCCCACTTTCCCACCCCAGCTCCCCTCAAGTGCATGTCTTAACTCAAAACAAAGGTGCGTACATCTGGACAGTGAACTCTAGCTATGTTTTTAACAATATTCTTAGCCCCCTTGCTTTGAAGAGCTATGACTGGAGCTCTAACAGTTGTATCAAATTTGGCAGCAGTAAAATAGAAAACATGAGTTCATGCTGGGACATACAAAGAGCTTTAGTGTCGTTTGCAAAATACACAGATGGTGGAGTCTCATAGAATAAAATCAATTGATTATTGGAAGTTAATTAAATTTCAGTAGGAGCTGAACTGTAAATGCCCCGTGTAATTTTTTTATTAGCCTAAAAATAAACATACATATCCTTCCATGAACAAAATATGCACCTGTGGGTATTAGATAGTTAAATACTTGCTTGTATGCTCATTTGCACATGTAATTATCCCTTTGTTATACATGAATTTTCTGTTGGAATAAAATAACCCCTAATACTGGAAAACTGTAAATAAACATTCATGAATGCATTTCCTAGATTCTTCTGCTTCTTTTTTTTTAAAATGCAAAACTAAAATCAGTACAGAAGATGAAGGCAATCCTGAAAGTTGTCAGTGCTGTGTGACCTACTTTACTTATAATGCCTTCAGACACAAAACTACATTGCAAAGACAGCATAATCAAAATATGTATTCAGGCTCCAAATCTCATTCCTAGTGTAAAGGATAATAAGTGCTAGGTTGATGAAGTGTTATTCAGCAGGATCCTGTCCATGGTCTGGGTTCTGCTGACTGTCCTAGCCTGAAGGCAACAGTCACTGCAGATACTGAAATGGCTGTGTGACCACTATTATTGCACATCCCTATAAACTCCTCTTCTAAACACCTTCTGTGCTGTCTAGAACGAATGCAGATAGAGCTCTGTGGCATCAAGAATGATTTATGTCCACTCCATTTCAAATGAATACAAGTAGGAAAGGAATAAGATGGATTTGAGGCATTCAAAGTGAGACCAAATGTTCTTCACTGACTAATAGGCAGCCATGCTCCCCTAATTCTTATAAGACAAAGGTAAGGGGCATTTCTTTTCACTCATGTGGCTTTCATGAATAATATCTTGAAAGCATTCCTTTGGCAAATATCCTTTTGTTACAAAAAGTGCCAAAGGTATATTGCTGAAAAAATAATTATAAAAGTCGTTATGCCTGTGACTGGAGAGTAATCCACTGACCGATACTGCCACTATGGAACCTAATATAACTGTTATGCTGCTTGAGTTGATGATAAGTATTGTACATATTTTAAATGAACTAACTCAGATTGTAGCTACTACTGTTCCATTATGCACTTAAATAAAAAAGGTTTTTTGTTCCCTCAAGGTTGCTTTCAGCTATTTCATGGATTCTTGGAAGTCTGCAGTATCTAACATGGATGGAGTCCTCTGGACAGAGGGCAGAAAGCGTATGCTGCTTTGGTAAATGCTATTCTGAGAATAATAGAAACACCTGAAGTAACCCTTCCCTTGCTGCTAGTTTTCTTAAGATGGCCTGAGTTTTAGGAGAAATGTTTCTCCCCAAAAAATGAAAATATTAAACAATGTATAACTATGGGAGACTGAAATAAGGGAGAAATAAGAATAGAAAAGTAGATGTCTCCTTTCTTTATTGTATGAAATGGTCATGAAGATAGTGTATGTAGCCTGGGGGGGGTCACAAATCAGCCCTATTTAATTTGGTGTAAATACTTCCAGAAAATAAACGACATTCATAACATATCCTGAATGATTCACTGTGTTCAAATAATTTTGTTTGAGCAGAGTTATATTTGCTATTCTAGGTAAGCTTCTTTGTCTATTAGAAAGGAGAAGCTGAAAAGTTATATGAACATTTTGTGCTATTTGCAGTGAAATAAATCAAAATCAACAACAGGAATAACTATGAAAAGAGATTAAAATTAAGCTACACAAGAGACTGCAAGTACTAGGAAAATTGAATAAAAGTAACTTTCCAGAAAATAAGTTCAAATCCTAGAAGAAATAATAGAAAAAAATCTAAAACACAGTGTGAAAACTGAGCAGTGCTAGAAAGCAGAAATGAGAGACGAGCTAGCTCAGGAGACTGGCAGTGGTTTCAGGTCAGTAGTGGCATGACCGAATTTTTGACTGTCTTTCAAAAATGTCTTCCTGGATGTGCCCCTGTGTTCTTGAACAAGACATCTCTTAAACGAGACAGGAAAATGAACTCTTTTTTCTTTTTGCTTCTTATTTCTCATTTGCCTTACTTCTTCCATCACAGCTGACGTAGCCATGACTCTCCCTGGCACTCAGGCTTGCAGCATTTTCACCATCTGTTATTTTCTGGTTTTCTCTGACCAGCTTCTCCCTGAGGTCTTGTGCTGCTTGCTTAGTAGTATCTCTAAAATCTTCCCCTCCCCATCCCTTTTTTTTCATCACTGTGCTTTGTGGTAGGCTAATTGTTCGGATATTTAGGAAATTATAGCTAGAGCCTGTTTGCATTTCTTCTTTGGGCTGGACACATTGGTGCAAAGGAGAGACTAAGACTTTTATGTCTTTTTCCCCTACATCTTTTTCCTTTCCCCTTGAGGAAAGGACTTATGTATGTCAGAGAGCTCTAGACTCCACAACTGTTTGTATGGCATTTTTCATCAGTAGAGCTAAATTTACTTAGTTTTTCATTTTGTTTTGCTTTAAACAAATTACATCTAAACTAGAGAGAGTAGAAACATACTGAAGAGCAAGACAACAGGGGAAAAAGATGTAAAAGCTCCCCTGATTTGAAGAACGCAATTATCCTCCACCTAACTGTATTGGCTGTCAGACGAAGTACTATCAGGTGGTCTTGTGATATGATTAACCTTCATATTCCAGTTGGTTCTTTTGTTGAGGTTGAGTCATTCGCTGCAATTAATTGTACAAAAGGTAGTGAACAGTTTGCAGGACCAAGCCTCACAGGAAGAACTATTGATTGAGTTAAAATTTTGAACAACTTGAATCAGGTCAAATAATATATCTGATTATGACTCTTTCTCTGGGTCAGGGTATACAATGTGTTGATAGTCCAAAATTAACTTGCGTATCATATCAGCCAGGGTTATTTATCATTTATTAATATGAATAATATAGTGGAAGTATTGGAAAGCTTGGATTCAGCAGCTCCTTAAATGTAAATTGAAAAATATATCCTGGAGCCATGGGAGTCATGGAAAACATAGAGAAGAAATCAGATTGTATACCAGCTCTAAATAATGTGGCAGCTCCCAGACCGTGATGATAAAGCTCCAAGCAAGAATGAAGAACAAATAGAAACGGTATCTTTATGAGTAATGGCTCAGATCTAAATCTATTTATAGCTAAGCCTTTTACATAAAGTGCTTAGGCTTAGAGATGAACACACAGGCCTGCTCAAGAGAACAAAGGGTGGAATGTTTGTCATAGATTGAAATGATGTGAAGGGTCCACACATGGCAGGCAGGGGATTTCTTTCTTGCTATAATAATTAGGCTCCGTATATATCACAGAAACTAACATAATTTAAAAACATTTTTTCCCTCTCTATTCTATTCTACTGGGAACAGTCTTAAGGGTGCACACAAGCAACCAGAAGCATGTACTACAGTGACTGAGTTACAAAATTTTTGTAAATACACGTTCTGTAAAATGCCCTGTTCCCATGCACAGAGAAGACAATTGTAGAAAGAAAAGGGAACATTTAAGTCTGCATTTAAATTTCCTCTCTGCATTTAAGGAGGGCTTTCACTTGTTCCGTGAGGCCTGGGTGCAAAGTGATGTGTCTTGATGGGGATAAAGGGTAAATGGAAGACTGATATCCAGCTGGTTATATGAGGTGTGTAAATGTTGCTGTTGAATCTTATTCAGAATAAAAAGAAACAGCAAACTGTAATACAGATTCCAGGTGTTCTGAGTAAGGCAGAGGGTGAGAACGGAATGATTTACAAACACAAACATACCCTAATAGAGACAACTAAGTAACAGTAATTTCATTCACAGAGACACCACTAATTAAAGAATATTAAATGAGGAAAGCATTCTGCTGTTGAGAAAAAGTGAAGGTTATGGACACCTTTGACTGTAAATAGCACTGTATAATTATCTGAGCAATACTTAACTGCCAGTGTGCTGGCTGTGTTAAACTGCAATAAACAGAGAAGACAAAATTCTGTTGAGCTATTGAAACGCACTGGCTTCATAATGGAAACAGGAATATGACCTAACATCTGATCATTTAGGTAATGTAATAGCTGTTTACAGGCTGGGGTCTAATTGCTTTTGGTTGTTAAGAAATGCACATCTTTGTTCCCACTGCCCTCACCTCAGCTTTGAGGAACTTTGCCTTAGTCACTCACACTGTGCCTGAAGGCTTCCTAGAGGCATTAAACTTGTGAGCCTAAGAAATGCATATCATAATTCTTTTTTAAACTGACATTATTATATATAAACACAGTGAAGACTGACAAAAAGCACATCCCTCCCCTTCTCTGCTGCCACTGTGTTCAGTGAGAGTACTTCTCAAGAGTATGTGTTGCAGTTTTCATACAGCATGTTTCAGAGCATTACAAACATGAACTATCACGAAGGCCATTTCTCTGAGGCTTGGGCTACACGTGAAGGTGAATTTGCTCTTTATTCACAGTTCGTTCTCTTGCTACATCTGAATCTCTAAAGCATGCTCTTTTCCACTGTCAGGACAGCGACTTTGAACTTAACTACTCCTTCCAACTTAACCGCTCCTACTTCCTTCTTATCACCATTTCTTCTTTTCATTTTCCTACTTTGAGTCCATACAACATGCTGGCAGCAAAGTCATACTCCTTAGACATTTATTCCTAATTACTATTGTTCCACATAATTCTTAGCTGAGGGAATTGGAGAGAGAAATGGAATAAATGGCAAAAGTAACATAAGGACCTGACAGACAAAGCTGATTTGACTAGAATACATAAGTCTCTGATTTCTGGAAAGGAAGTCTACAAGGAAGATACATGGATAACACTTTCCTGTTTGGAGCCAGTCATCTTTATAGCTTCTCCTAGACCATAATCTCAATGATATTTACTTCACATTTTCCTTTTCAGGTATTAGATAGGTTATCTGTCTCACTATCCTCTTTCCCAGGGCCTATTTACAGCAAAGGGACATGAAATAATTCCTAGGAACACAGCAAGACCCAAAACAGAGAGGAGCTAGGGCGTTGTTACAAACATGATCTTTTGTTAATTCTTTTAATTTTATCAGCTCTACCTCTTTTTTTTCTCTTTTTTGACCCACAAAAATCACTTGTTATACATATTTTTTTAACCAGTCTTACCTAGCAAGAAAGCAATGATGAATTTAAACTAGGAAATTCTGGCTTTGGCTGGCATTTTTAGTGGATTTGTAAATCCCAGCGTTTAATTAGCTGAGCTCCTTACATGATGGATATTTGTAATGAGGAATGAAGGAAACATGTTTTTGGCTATAATGCTTTCTTTATCCTTGCGCTTTCCTATTGAGCCTAGAACACTGTTAGCTCTCTAGCAGGTATGGCCTTGTGATAGAAGAATGCATGCTCCACAGCCTTTAAACCCCTTATTAGCCCATTTGTTCCTGGGTCCCAGGAATTATACTCCTTCTTTTTAATGGGTTTGCAAGACCAGTATTTTTTTATCCTGAAGGCTGCATCATGTTGTAAAGTTTGCAAGTTAGCTGACAGGTCCTAAAAGCCACTTGGTGATGGCAGCTCAGAGGTCTGTGTGAACTTATTTAACCTTGTTGAGGTGATGCTCTACTGCTGTGGCTAGATTGCTTTTGTTATCTCACTGGTCTCATGTAGAGCTGATAAAGGTTTCTCTGTCCTACACTGCAGTTTTCACCATAGACATTTTGTGGTGACTTTGCAGTCACTTTACCGTGCTGAGCAGCAAAGGCTAGTTTTAGAAGAGCAGACACTGCTATCTGTAAAGAAAGGATCAACGCTTGACTGTGCTGACGTTCCTTCAGCTTTCCCTGAAAAAATGTGTAAGTTCAAGCACAAGAAATTTGATAGCTTATATTTGCCTCAGGGTAGGACCTAAGTGTACATCGTTGTCTATCTCCTCCCAATGTCCACATATCTTTCCTTTAGGAGAAGAACTGGGCACATTGGCAAAGAAGGAATTAGCACATTTGAGAAGATCCAGTGATCTGGACAAGGGGGGATCAACTGTATAGTGTATAGTGTATAATGGAACTCCACTGCTGCTAAGTGTAGGCAAAAATATTGTAAATCGTTACATCTCCACTGATCTCAGTACTTTACGCAAAACAAGGTTCTGACCCAATGTGCCCAGTATTTCTGCTATGAGGCGGCAAACATAGCTATGTCCACTGAGGTGAAGAATGTGTTCTACTTACTTATATGGATTGTAGAGTCAAGGTCAGTGGCAGCATCTGTTTGAGGGAAAACAAAATGACCTTGTATGTAAAGTGACTGAATCTGTTGTAACAGCTATCACTTCATCAATGTGTGATTGGATAGAGGTGAATCTGAAACAGCCGCAATTACATGGGTGAGTCAATATGTAAAAAACTCTAGAAACATGAATCTCTTTTTTAATGTAGGTGGGAAAAGGAAAACTCAGGATGGATAATTTCTGCCTGTAAATAGCAATGTTGAGGAAATGTAGCGCTCTGTGTTTGTTGATATGGACTAAAGCAGAAGATGAAACACCCTTTCCTTTCTCTACAACAAAACATTATAGGCACCCCTTCAGGCATAAATAAAAGTCCTGGTTGTCTTCTTACACAGGTGGAAATCAGGCACGACCTTGCTGGAGTCACTGGAACAACATCAATGTAAGCTGCTGTTCTTAACATCAGAATCAAGACCTGAAAATTGGTGACTCTGGTTAGTTTGCTGGATAGTGACATGCAGATTATCCTGAACTATTTTTGTCTCCCTGAACTATTCTTGTCTTCAATGAACTGTTTCAAATAACATCTTAGATCTACTAAGTGGAAAAATTTTTCCTCCTGACTGAGGCAAGGCCTGGAACATAATGTTTCCAACTTAATCATGCAGCTGACATGTTACATAAATGCTGTGCTAAACTAAGAACGTTATTTGTAATTCCCTTAGAAAAGAAAACGGAATGACCAGCATCTGTATGTGTTGTTCTTCTTATGCCCTGATAGAAATCACACCAAAAGAAAGATGTGCCAATGAGTCCAATTGTGCTCCCTCTTAAATTTGGGCATTCGATTGCTCAGTAGTGAAGAAGCATATTTGTATTTAAGTATCTTTCTTTCTGTCTTACTAAATGACTCTTCAGAGTACTCTGTAAGCACATGAGGCAGTGAAGAAGGTCCTTGTGCTTTCAGTTGCTAAAATAGTACTGCAATATTTCACTGTATTCTTTGGAGTCCAGAGACACAGAGAGAGCAGCTTGCAAAAAAATCATATGAAATAATGTAAAAAGTGGTTGAATGGCACTAGTCTTGGATAATGCAGGAAAAGAAGCAGTAGTTATTACTATAAAGTGTTTATGCAGTATTTTAAATTTATTTACTCTTTTTAAGCAAAAGCAAATGCATGCTTTCAGTGGCTAAAGAGCCTACTACCAAAACATAAGGTTAGTATGATTAAAGTACCAACTTCAATTCAGTATTTTTTCAGTGCAGTAAATAAGACAAAGCTAGCTGGGGAAGAAAAGATAGGCTTAAAAAGAACCTGCTAGTTGAAAGAAATAAAAGAAAAAAGAATTAAATATTAATGAATGTAAGATTATGGGGCACCTTCTAATCCTCAATCCAATTTATCTAACGCTCTTTGTCTTCAGAGGTACTTAACTGATTGGAAAAGTGGAGAGTGTTTATAAGGCATAACTACATTTTTTTTTTACATTTCAGGTGTTTGATGAAGGACCTGACCAGGGTAAAATAAAAACTTCTCCCAAACAAATGTTCCTGTATGTTCCTATATGTTTGTAACCTTTTTAGTGTGTGATCTGTTTATTTGTTTTTGTTTTGAGACCAGAATAAGTAGTGTTGAACTAATGATGATGGAAAGCCAGACTGCTTTGTTTTATACCCAGTGGTTCTGCAGCATAACCCTGGTTACATAACTAGTGTGTATATCATGGCATATGCAGAGAAATAAGCCTACCAGATTTTCTGCTGGAAATGTCAGGTGGACAGAGAATTGTAGAAGAGCAAGCTCTTTCTATAATTTTTAATTACTTTTCACAAAATGTCTTTTTTCCACAGAAGTGTTTGGTTTTGATCAAGAAGCTTAAATGCTTAATGTTGAAAGCTTAAATGTTGAAAGCTTGATTAATTTCAGTTTGGATATGAAACTGCAGTGCCTCATATGAATTCTTTTCTTCATCTTAACAGTACTGTCCATGAAAAACTATGCTTAGGATCACCAGGAGGAGGGACCAGAATGCACCGGGCGGGGGGGG